ATATTTTTATTTAATGGCTGTATTATATAGATTTCTGTTTTCTAAACATTCATTGGATTTTTTATAGAATCTTGAACTTAATATTTTTATACCAAACCAATGTAAAAAATAGCAGTTAATTAGCAGTTTTTGAAATGCCTGATTTCATCTTAATATCAACTAGATAACAAAAAGCTCAAATAAAAATAAGAATATTTCAGTATAAATTGCTGTATAACAAAAATAAATGTTTAAATTACTGAAATCTATAATACATCTTTAATAGATCTCTTGTCTGTCTATGTCTCGAAAACTAGTCAATTTTTTGACAAACAAACTTTATTTTTGTATGTCTATTTGCAGTATGGGAAAGCCTATTAAAAGAAGAAATCATATAAAAATCATTCAGATAAAGTGCTGCACCTCGCAGTAGAAAATGTTAAAGAAAATAGGATGTACTCCAGACCAGCTCGAAAAAACATTTGATAAAGCTATGCGCACTATCCTAAACAAAGTGAAAGAGTACTATAACAAAAATGATCTAACTCCTACTCGGCTCTCTTTCCGAGAGGGAAAGAGAATTGTTCAAGCATTGATTGCAGCCAGCGAATATGTTTGCCCATTAACGAAGCTTCATTTACGGTTTGACTGTTTTTGAATATCTGAAGAAAAATAATCGTGAAAATTTATTTCATGAAAAACCACCGTGTAAAGACTGGGTAACAAGTTTTCTTGATGAATTAAAAGACAAACTAGACTTTTCCAATAACCTCTGTTTATTATTGTTGCGCGCCACTATTAATGTCTTGTACATGGCAAAACTAGTTACCATCAGCGCCCTCTAGTGTCGAGTAGAAGAACTAGGAGAGTCAAGATCCTTCTAGGTCTTCTAATTTCGGGACCGATATGTACTCGAACATTCTAGATGTCGCTACAGTAGAAGGTTCTGGAAACTATCTGAGGCCCTATATAAGGCCGGTATAGATCACGACCGAGTCAGTATTGAATTGGCAATACTAGAGAATACTTCGAAGCGAAACAACTACGAACGTAAGTGATCAGTAGTACAATTGGGTTTTATTATTAGTGTGGTTTTAGATTTAAATTAGTGTTGTGTAACTAAAGTGTCAATTTTGGTAATTCAATCGGCAGTTTTTAATTGTCTCGAACCCCAAGCTCGTAACATTATTGTTGGGAAACAAAAATAGCGTCGACGTATAGGATACAATGGATGATATGATAGGAAATAATGACGATGCAACAAAAGACCTTACCACCTTTCACTAAAACCGACATATTAGACAAGAAAAACGAAACTTCTTCACAAATCACACCCACATTGTGTGAAATAAATGTTTCGAGTGCTATCATCATTCGTGAATATGATCGGATAAAAATTATTTTCAATCCAAAGAACCACGATTTGTCTAAAGAAAACACTAATATATTTAAGACTGCAAAAAAAAAACCCAAAGTATCTTGTGTAACTATACCGTCCACAAAAGTACGTCAAATATTATTTAAAAATAAAGCGATTGACAAAGAAAACATTGAAACTAGAAAAACATTAGCAAAACAAAGTGATTTTGTGTAACTATTGTACCTGACTTGAAAAGAGATTATAATTTATCACATTATGTAACAACTCTAACCCACCATTTTAGTTTGCGGAGTATAACATTGCCCACCGAAGTGATTTAAAAACTAAAAAGTTTTTGACATTTTGAACAAGAAAATAAAAAATAAAATAACATAAATATTGTTGCGCGCCACAATGAATACATGGTACGTGGCGACACTAGTCACCACTAGTATCGAGTAGCAGAACTAGGAGAGTCAAGAACATTCTAGAAGTTTCTACAGTAGAAGGTTCTGGAAACTATCTGAGGCCTATATAAGGCCGGTTTCGCAGCGGGAAATCTCATGGCAACGCAGATGCATTGATAAGAAGACCTTGTCGTGAAAATTGCAAGCATTGTATTAGGCAAGAGGATAAGGAAGTGGTATCTGTGAGGATGCTCAGGGCAGACCAGCTCGGCAATAAGTGGAAGGCAGCCTACAACATGCACAGCAAGAAGATTCGGATATCAAGCCGATTCTGTAATGAATGAAGGCCAGTGCTCCTAAGCCCAAGTGGAGCGACGTCTCAGCGATGAGTTCGACCACGAAAGCAATTTGACCCAATGGAACAGCTTGCTGAATTAGGATGGAGTGCTGTGCCGTAAATGGGAAAATGCTCGAGGAGACAGCTGTCATTTGCAAATGGTTGTGCCTAAAGCTAAAGTACCAGATGTTCTACAGCTGTACCATAATGGTTGTTCAGGAGGCCATCTGGGAGTTAAACGAACTCTACTGAGGATCCGAGAACGGTATTACTGGGTTCACTGTCGTGAAGATGTCGAGGACTGGTGTCGCAAATGTACAAGTTGTGCGGCTGTAAAGGGACCTCATAATCGTAGTAGAGGTGCATTGAAATTGTACAATGTTGGTGCACCATGGGAGAGGATAGCCCTTGACGTGGCGGGGCCGTTTCCGGAAAGTCTTTTTTTGACAGTTATTAATCCCTCAGATCTTTGAGATGTAAAACAATCGTGGAAATTTGTCACGTGGCATAGGCCAGAATACCGGTGGCAGCCGCGAGAGCAACCCGAGACGCGCGACGAGCGTATCAGCATTATAATGACCGAATGGAACAGCAAGGTTGCGTCTATGTACTAGAGCCCATACCGGGAGGTGAATCGCCGGCCGACCGCAAGGTCGCAAGGATTCAAGAAGCCTCCAAAGGCTGATAGGCGAAGAGAGACGAGCCCCTATACGACATTGGATCGCACTCATCCTTGATCCCAGAGCAAGACCTGTATTGTCAAAATTTTGAATTCTCAGGCTTTATACCACTGGTTCAGGAAACGAAAAATTAAGAGGAGTGGACCCTCGTCTACAGAACAGACTACCGCTTTCGATGTTTACCCACGCTATGGCTACACACCTGAATCTCGAAATATTAGAAACGGCAAGGAAGTCCGGCCAAAATGTTTTAAACTTAAGAACGGATGTGCGGGAAATATTACCGGACTGTATGATAGTGAGATATAATCAACTATCGGTGATACCCCAGCCGATAGTTGATTATATCTCACATGTGACCAGCGTTATTACGCCTGATGGACGTGAAATTAGACTTAATCTTCCAAACGTTGCCATCCCACAAGGACCGATTGAACATGGATGTAGATGTAGTCGATGGAGTCCAGGTTGCACCCAGTGGCACTTTCGGCCAGTTAAACGCAGCTACACATAATGCGTACGAATGCTATATATCCCCGTATGTCACCTTAGCAAGAGTCATTGCTTTTGCATAGCAAGGTGCGGAATACAAACCGGAACATTCTGAGAGGGAGGAAGAAACCAACCTCCTTGGACATGTTTTTTTCTAAACGGCCTACAGGTGAAAGCGAGAAAAGTGTAGCGAAAAAGGCAAAGACCAGTGAGGATAACTAATTTATTTCTTTACATTCTCTTTTTTGTTTTTGTATAATAAATATTTGTCATTTATAAATACGTTTATATATATAAGCGATACAACTGAGAACTAAAGTGGTCAGTAGTACAATTGTGTTTTATTATTAGTGTGGTTTTAAGCTGTAATTAGTGTTCTGTAATTAAAATGGGCAATGATGGCCGGTTTTAATATATATATATATAAATTATTTAAAATATATATATCTTTAAACCTAGATAAATCGTAAGCTTACGTTTATTATGTCGTGAATCATAGTAAATATTCCATCAATTGCATAACAGGATTTATAAATACATTTAATAGATCAACATAGCTAGTAGTATGTCCGTTGATTCAACCTATTATCACAGAATAAATAATATTATGCTATTATGCAGTAAAGTTTTGCTACCGGTTGAGGACACACTCTCGCAATCATAATATAGTAGTGTAATGCTGCTCTATTTCATAGTGCAGCGCACCGGATACCATTTTTAATGGTAAAGAGACATTTCATCTAAGTATTTAGGGGTAACAACGCATCTGCATTTAGATTATTAATTGATGATAGATGTAGCGTGTCATAGGTTACAACATCCACAAAAGGATTGGTGTGGTATCCACCTACCATCAAGTGGCCTGTGTGGTCGTTCATTTGTTTTTTCACCCTTACTACTATAAAAACAGAATTATGTTTATTTTGACTTTAACCTTTAAAAGTAAATATCTGCTGGTTGAGCCATTTTTGCTTAGCAGAGTCTAAAATGCATGAGGTAATTGAGAATACTTTTTAGCATAACACTTGTTAATTGTTAGGATAAAGTTAATCCTCACCTTGAATATTATAAGTACCCTGCCTTCTATTTCCAAGCCAAAGACAATAATGTGTATGAGTTATTTTGGCGTATTTTAGAATTACAATAATCATGAAAACTGATCCAAATAATACTGCTCTTCTTTTGTAATGCAAAGTTCAGTGCATATTGTCAAATGCAAATCGTCTGTGACACCAATAAAAATAAATTGTTTATTATTTACGTTTGGAAAAGTAAACACAAAAAAATCCCGGCTGTGGACCCCTCTGTTATGTTTCTGTTATGTTTACTTTTATCATAATACTAATGCATTAGCGTTTTTTTATGTTGGCTGTTATAATGTTCTTGCATTATTTTAACATATAACACATATGAAATAACTAGCAATGTCACTTGACTGAATGATATTAATAATCAATATAGGACTATTCATTACCAATACGAAAATAATCATGATTTATTTTAAAGAGATGAATGGCATACGAAGTGTATCATTAGTTCATTAGACATACTTTTCAAATTGAAGGCCAATTATTTATGTTTGATTCGACAAAATTATATACTTTATGTTACCTGCCATGTGGCAGTGTATAATGCCTGCATCATGTGTCAGATCAACCTGGAAAGGACCTCACTTGCACAGAATACTAGCATACAATAGCAACATAATTATTACTATTAATGTGATGACAAATTTCTTTTTATTTTCAATCATATGGTGGTAGCCCAAAAAGTTCAGGTTGAAAGTCTTCCAAAGACTTTAGCTGTAGAGTAGCATTTTGCAGTTGCTCCGGTTCTATGCGAGGATCTGGCACAACAACAACTTGCATGTTGGCTGCGCATGCTGCTTTTACTCCATTGACTGCATCTTCAAACACCAAACACTAGAATAGGAAATATTTGTATTTTAAACAGTGTTGAAAAAACAAAAAAATGTCTGTTAATCTGTTGATAATAAACAAAGTAATATGATGAACATCCACAACCTGAAAGTCAAAAACTCAAGATCAATTCCAAATATGCTAAAATTTTGGAATACTGTCCTATAATAAACTTTGTGGCCAGTGACATTCAAGGCTTATGTCAAAGGTCAAGGTCAAATAAAAAAAAATGTAAAATTAATATTAAGTCCACGTTATAGTAATCTAATTATTGTATTAAGGAGTAATCGACAGAGCTACGCCGCTGTCTGAAGGGATTAACCTAACCTGTCCAAGTTGGGGTGCCCCCAAGTTCCAAGCTCGCTTTGCTCATTCACATCTTAAGTTTTCATAGCCTCTACGTTGAGTTGTGTTATTTTTGAGTTATTATGTTGGTGTAGTGTATAATGTAATACGATAACATAAAAAAAGGAAATCAAATGTTATTAAAAGTATTTATTGAATTTTATAAACATATAAAATACGTTTTAACAATTCCTCAAATTTATTTGACGCCTCTAAGCAAATTCAGTAGCCGGTCAGAAAAATGATCCTTATAATTTTCTTTGTGGAAGGTCCTTTTTATTACACGCCAGTGGCTCTCTATGCGCTGTGTCCCATCTGGTGCCACAAATCTATTATCTTTATCACTGTGATTAACTTTTTTATGTATATATCCATATTCCGAAAGGCAGTCATTAGCTCCAATAGTCTGTATGTATTATTGAGCCCTCCGAACATGATTTTTTATGAGTGGCATCAGCTGAGCTACTCAATCCCACATGTAAATCATCACAGCTATCTATCATGTCTAGTACCCAATGGACTTCCACTTGCCTTCCTCTATTATATTATCTTTTGCCGAATTTAGATTCGTCAATTTGGACTATTTTGCCCGGCCCGCCTATTAGTGGCCTTTCCGATTGATTTTCAATTTCGTAGATGACCACGGTTTCTCGGGAATAACTATACCAGTCCGCAATAGTTCTAGAGGACAGCAACTGTTCATGACAATCACCATCTTTTGTATCTCTATGCACCTGTTTGTATGTTTCACTATGGCTAAATGCATACATTAATTCAATTTTTTTTTAAAACAAGACTTTGGGTTCTTCTTCTGCAGTTGCTTTTACGACAGCGAAATGAAACCAGTTGACTAGCAAGAGTTTTAATGTGTCATTGGCCGATGGTGATCAGTTTTAATGTGGTCATTGGCCGATGGTGATGCCCACACATCTTTTCTGTAGGGATCATGCCTCTTTGCTCGGCAAACACGACACATGCTTCGTGACTGCCTAATTTGCAGTTTCATAAAGCACGAGTTTCTTCATTCCTTTTATGGTACCGCCTATTCGGGGCTCCAATGGTAGCGGCCAGTGGTATGTCCACGTTACTGGAACTTCCGGGAATGGGAGACAGGTTACCCGTGGGTACAAGTAGATCATGAGAATCCAACACTAGCACAACTCAAGTCTCAATGCTTCATGTAGCGCGCACAAGTGGCTCACTAGAGTACAACACTTAACACTTCGGGATTGGGAGAAGACGCAGCAGAACACGAAGACAGGGACTTGGGGACGCCATGTTGTCAATCAATCGTTGTTGGTAACAGGAGTACGATAGACGCTCTCGACTTTGAGTACAAACGACGACTGCTAACTGTCAAACGCCACCGTCATTTACTTATTTAATTGCGTTTCGTTAAGCGCGGTCTTTTAAAATACAGATAAATCTTTATTATTTTTACTTTTATTTATTATATTATTTAGTTCATAATTGAGTTTAATATATTAGCAGCTATTTAAAAATGAATTAAAGTTAGAAACTAAAAATCAACATCCGCTGTCACTTTATCTGAACGTAAAATGAAACGACCTAGGACTGAAATTCGTACATTATCTGTGGTAAAATAACATATGATGACGTATAAAAGTTGTCCTTTAAAACTTTAGGATATTTTTTCTCAAAAACTATGAGGCTGCTCTAAGTGATTTTTGTTTTAAAGCGTTCTACATGAAGAGATCTATACAAAAAAGATACGACTGCTTCTAAAATGGGCGGAAATCTTTGTAACGTGGTGCCCCGCCCAATCAACTTAAAATTTGGCATATATAATTCGTTCTCGACATAGACACTCACTAAAAAAGGATTTTGGAAAATTCAACCCCTAAGAGGGTGAAATAGGGAGTTAACAGCTTGTTATATATAATTTTGAAATATATGGGACTATAAAAGGGACTAATAAAGCAGTTTATTTCAATAGTTTATCTGTGGTGTAATACAGGGTGGGCCAAAAATTTTTGGAAATAGCAACACTAGATTATTTTGAAAAATCGTTCGAGGGAGGGGCGCGCGGGTGGCGGGAAACTGCGTCACTTCATGCAATTTTAGTCAAGATGGAGCGCTTCACGGGACAACAGCGTGCTTTTTGTGTAAAACAATGATTAATTAATTTGATCAAAGCTTGGGTCGAGAAGTTCGAGCAAACGGGATCAACAACGAATATTAAACAAACAGGGCGGCCACGTTCAATAAGAAGTGATGAGAACATTCGAGAGGTCGAAATATCCGTACGGAACGATCCAGAATCATCTACGCGTAAGCGTTCGGCGACTCTGGCAATACCAAAAACGGCGGATTTTGCATCTGGACCTCAAACTACACCCATATAAGCTTCAAATTGTACAGGAGATGAAACCAAATGATTACATTCAACGTAAGTTATTGGCTGACACTATGCTGGAGCGATTCTCTAGCCTTGAGAATGTATTGTTTACGGACGAGGCCCATTTTCACATCAATGGGCACGTGAATAAGCACAATTGTCGATATTGGAGCAGGGACAACCCTCGCCTTAAACACCAAAAGCCACTTCATTCACCTAAAACGACAGTATGGGCTGCCATATCAGCAAAGGGCATAATTGGTCCGTATTTCTTTTAAAATAATCAAGGAAATAATGTAACTGTGAATTCAATGGAATACGTCAAGATGTTGCAAGACTTTTTGACGCCGCAGTTGCATGAATTTCAAGGGTACAACAACAGGACCTGGATGCAACAAGATGGAGCAACATGCCATACGTCAAATGTGAGTTTACCGGTAGTCAAAGAAATGTTTCCGAACAAATTCATTTCTCGCAGAGGTGATATCCCTTGGCCTCCCAGAAGCTCGGACCTTACACCATGCGATTTTTTCTTGTGGGGATACCTGAAAAGTCGAGTGTACCTTAATAAACCGACGACAATATCCCAATTAAAACAAAACATCCACGAGGAGATAGCCGCGGTCCCCCGCAGCATGTGTCAGCTAGTTTTCCAAAGTTTGCGTAGTCGATTTCAGGAGTGCCAACAACGAGACGGCGCACATTTGGACGACGTCATTATTAAAAAATAAATTTCATTAAATGATTATTACGATAAATAAATTATCAACAAAATAACATTTGTAGTTTTATTTCTATTCATGTTTTAAAAGTGCAATAATTTTTGGCCTACCCTTTAGTATGTGTTTTTTGTTTGCATGTAAAACAATTATATGTTTTTTTTAGAAGTTATCCTTTGACTTTCATAACAATTTTATAAATTCATAAATTCTTTTATATAAATTTATTTCTTCTTTCTTAAAGTATTCATGTAACAGCAGTACTCACATCTTCAGGGCTTGGTTTATCTGGAAATTTAGACGCACAAACCAAAAAAATTGCAGGATCAGGTTTTCCTTTGGTAACTTCAGGATCTGAGGTGCCCATAGTAAGATGGTGGAAGTTTTTCAGGAAATCTTTATGATTTTGCATTTTCATGTCAACACTATCTTGCCCAGAACTTGTTGCCAATGCAAGAGGTACACCTTTATTATGTAAATGTTCCACTAACTTCTGAGCACCTATAAAAGACAAGTTATCACAAATCACAAATATTATATAAAGGTGTTTTATAATTTTTTTTTCTTTATTCTCAAATCAGTTATAAATAACAAGCTACCCCATATCATCCCGTGGATGTCGTAAGAGGTGACAGAGAGAAACAAATCAGACGGGCAGCAACATCTTCCTAATAATGACAAAAATAAAAAGACTGCAGTTGCTAACCTGCTTGTCAAGCGTATCAACAATGGCAAATATCCCACTTATGAGACAATCTATGAGCCTATGTGGACTATGTTCAGTAGTGGACTTTAATAGGTTGTAACAGTAACGGTAAAATATCTCATTGTAATGTGGCAATGAACTATTTACTCACCTGGCATAAGTTGAACATGACGGAAAACCACTTCATACTCTTTTCTACATTCCTCCATAAATTTCTCTACACTAGTTTGAATATTTAGAGCTTTTATAATCTTTTCTGCGCATTCATGTCCTTGGAATCCAAGGATACTTTTTTTTAGTTCCCAAGTAAATACTTCGCCATACATAGCACATACATTGGTGAATGCCTCTGTGTACAACTTTTCAGAATCTGAAATATAATCAAAATATTATCATCTTTAAATACTGGGCTAACTATTTTTTTAATGTTAATTCTGCATTGTGGAATGTAAACAGGAAAATGCCAAATATTGCAGTATAAATGCAAATATCACCCATATGTGGCCCTAAGAAATCCATTTAAAAATGTTAAACCCATATTGTATAGACTGGCAATGATAAGCAGCATTAACTTTACTGAAAAATTCATAATTCATACTTAATTTAATAACGCTATATACCTACGTATAGAAAATCTTAGGCTCACTTAGACATTTAGAGAAATGAATTTATGCAGCCCTAGATTTCTGTTTTGACCCTGACCTGATGATTATAAAGTTTAATAAAGGTCTGGAAGTAGCACTTCAATTTTCGCTCTGTTAGTATACTCAGCTTATTTTGCATAAACTTGGCATACAAAATAAGCCAATTATATTGGTTTATTTGTATATGAAATAGGTGTTGTAATAGTTAATATGCTGATCATGTAATGTGACCGTATAGTGGCTGTGTAAGAATATCTACTACTCTTTATCATCGAGTGGGTGACTTAAGAGGCGACAGAGAGAAACAAATCAGGAGATGGGCAGCAGACTTACTAATAACAACTAAAAATAAAAAAAAACTGCAGTTGCTACCTGTTTGCCAAGCGTTGCAAATATGGTGAATAAGCCCCTTATGAGGTAATCTGATATACTGACGATGATAGACTGTTATGGATAGTTAATATATAATTAATAATTCAAATATATTTTATAATTTTCAATATAAACAAAAAAAGTCTTAATATGTACAAAGGAGAGTTTTTAAGTCTGTGGAATGGGTAGGTAGGTAATAAGTGAGAACGTCACTGAATTACGTGCTAATTGAGCAACTCATTATTAGTATAAATACCGGGTTTTATTGTAATTAGATGATTAGACTTTGAGTTATCATCAACCAAACAAGTCAATCAGAAAGAAATTGTGAAATATGGAGAAAATCTGAGTTCCATGCCATTATAAAGTTCCTTACCAAGCGTGGAAAATCAGTTCAAACTATACTGGAAGAGATGTCATCAGTTTACGGAGACTCTTGTCCAAGTAAAACTATGGTTGCAAGTGGCATACCCTTTTTAAATAAGACAGAGAGTCACTTGAAGACAACCCATGGCCAGGAAGACCGATCAAGGTGACCACTACGGAAATTATTCAAAAAGTCGAAAAATTAATATTAGAAGATGCCTGCCTAAAGAAAAAACAACTTGCTGAAATGGTTGCAGTATCAGATACAATCATTTTCAAAATTCTTCATAACCATCTTGGCATAACTAAGGTCAGCGCAAGATGGGTGCTTAGAATGCTCACGCTGCCTCAAAAGCATCAGCACGTGGAGTATTCTCATGCATTTTTGGACCTCTGTATGGAAGACAAAGATGGAGTGTTGGCTCGAATTGTTACTGGTGATAAAACTTGGGTTCACCATTATGAACCTAATTCCAAACATGACTCTATTACAATGGCACAAAAAAGGCACACCACCACCCAAGAAATTTAAGGTGGCACAATCGGCTGGGAAAATCATGGTGACAGTCTTTTGGGACTCAGAAGTAATCCTATTGATTAATTATAAAGATAAAGGTGTCTCCATAACCGAAAATTACTACACTTCAATCCTAGAACAATTGAAGGAAGCCATAAAGGAGAAAAGAAGGGGAAAATTGACCAAAGGAATTCTTCTTCTGCACAACAATGCACCTGTTCACAAGTACCATGTTGCGATGGCTGCCCTGCAGAAGGTGGGCTTCGAAATTTTGCCACACCCACCCTAGTCTTGACCTGGCCCCGATTGATTATTATCTAATTCCAAACTTAAAAAAAGAACTTTGTGGGAAAAGTTTTTAAGTGATGAAGAAGTGAAGGTAGCAGTTTCTGTGTATTTTTTAGACATAATTCTTTTTTTGAGTGTATACATAAATTAATTGAAAGATCAGAAAAATGTATTAGGGTAGCAAGTGAATATATTGAAAAGGCAAAATAAATTTGGATTTTTATTTCCACTCCTTACCCCCCATTCTGTGAACATAAAAATACACATGCACATAACTATTAAAATTTTTGATTTGATCACACTTTTAGTATTCACTGTTTAGCTGCTACAAGCTGCTACTTTGGATTATATTCTAGGAAGTATTGTATTTAAAATTATTACACTTTACACACTGATAACATTTCATTTACATACGAGTAGTTTCATCAGTATTATGTAATGATTTTATAAAAAGCTGAAGGTAAGCTTTTTAACTTTTAATGTTTTAAGTAAAAATTATTTAATTATTTGCTAATTTTTTATTACAATGGAGTCATAAGCTTTTCTATAGCCAAAACAGAATTAATATTACTAAGGTCCGATTTGTCAATCATCAGATAAAAATTATTAATGAATATATTTTAACCTAACGGAATATAAAAATGAAACAACTGAACTATTTATTTACCTGTAATTTTTAATCTGTTTATGTTTTATAATATTTTATGAATCAATTTTATCTGATGATTATTTTGGCCCTAAGAACTTTAATAACTTACCTATTAATAATCCATCCAAATCAAATAAGACATGGGTAACTGTTTTGTACATCATATTAAATACACTATTGTAGTTATAGAATTAAATTACATGCATATTTTATCTCATTAATTAAATAATAAATTTTAACCTCTCAGACCATGACATTTTATTCCTCTATATATAATGTACTATGTACTCTGGTAAAGTATTCTGTGACTCTGTGCATTTTATTGTTTAATGTTTATTGGACAAACCACAGACCACAGATTACTGTATACCAGTCTAGGACAAACCACAGACTAACTCACAGAACATTTTTTTTTGGAGCTTGTGGCCTATTATCTAGACCTTTAGGCCAAGTCTTGAGTATTTTTATTCGGTTTATTATAATTTCCCCAAATGTATAATTATCCTTCATAGTTCACTGCTTCACAATATGTTGATGCGTCACATTGTGCAGCCCTTGGGAGATTTTGACGGCAATTTGAGCCAGCAGACAGCTGAGAGTTGGCGATGGTATCTCAAGGCGCCTATGAAGACAAACATCTTATCTTGAGAATCCATCACTATCAGATCACTTGTTTCACCGTTTCCACTAATAGTTCACATGCGTAGACAGTTAATACATAAAATCGCACCACTTTTACATATCAAAATCCACTTCAAACTATTATTTGAACTATAATACAGGAGCAGCAAATCGCCGCCTGTCAAGTTCCCACCAAAAGTCTCTCACAGAACATATGTTATATCCCTAACTAGTAGATTCTACACGAACTAGACGAACATCTCACGCAGCTCTATAAAGTTAGCAGTGAAGTCAGCAGAAACCTTAAAATTGTATTTAGGAATTTGTAGCTAATTTGTTGATTGTTGTGCTATCTTTACATTAGGATAGCAGTAAAAACTTTCAATCAACCCCGCCGTAGCGGATAAAACGGGATAATTTGTTGCTAATTAGTTGCAAAATAAAATGCTAAAAATCATAAAAAAAAAATAATAATAAAAACCAAGTTATGTTTTAATTAGTGACCGACCGAAGATTTGATTTCGGTTTCGGCAAGTTTCGGCAAAAATCTAGTTTCGGTAATAGTTTCAGTTTCGGCAAAAAATCTACCGAACCTTCGGCGACGCCGAAACGTGCTAATCCGCCGAGCCGGATTATCGTGCGTCGTTCGGATGAGTTCGTGACTAGTGTATTATTCATAATCACAGAGTACATTATATATTACAGACATTCATAATTATACAGAAACAGAAACTTTTTTAATTCAATATAGATTATAAATAATACTTATTGAAAGTCTCTTTTGTTTAATTACCACTGGTTCGAAAAAAAACCTCTGTCCTTGGAAGAACCAGCAAGAAACCCAGCGGGACTTTTTTTTAAATAGCTTATAATCAGAGGCGTAGCGTAGACTAATATAAACGTAGGCGAAGTTGCATCACCGAGGCCCCTTTTCTTTCATTCCATAGATCTACCCTATAGATCTATCCTATCAAACATGCTTCGACACGACACACCTACTCATATCTATTAATTCCTGACAAATCTCGTATTCTGTTAATGTAACAATCGCGGTCTTTGAAAGTAGTAACAACGGCTTCGCAGTTGCACTTAAGAGGGGCTTCTTGCGAGGCCCCAAACAAACACTTTTAAATTTATGACTTTCTTTTTCGAACGTAAAAGTGATCAAATTAATTAGTCATCTGTGGTAAAGTCTGGGGACATCCCATTTTAGGGGGCGTACGAGGCTCCTTTAAGTGCGAGACCGTAGGCGAGGGCCCACTTCGCCCACGCCTAGCTACGCCACTGCTTACAATCATGTATGTAACACAGTTAACAACACCAAATAAATTAGAAATAGCTTGGTAGTGATCACCTCATTCCCAGCGGTTATTATCATCCATAAATTCCTTAATATTATAATAACCCTTTTTATACAAACTTAGTTTATTAAGGTTTTTGAACTTTGAGCAGGTTTTGTATATTTTCTGGGACTTTATTAAGTTGTGTGTATATTGTGTGTAAGTGTGTGAGTGATATATTAATTTAATGCTCTCATTGAATAATATTAACAATATTGTGAACACAATAAAATATGTTCTCAATTAGCGAGTAACTTTTTATGGGTTTTATGGGTTGAAATTGACTTAAAAAAGTATTTCTTAACGTTAAATTGTTGAATTTTTACTTTAAAATAAATAATTATATTGCTACATGACTTACAATTACTGTTTTTCATTAACATGCATTACCTACCTGTATATGTATAAAAAACGTACCAGATTTCAGTATACAACAAAAAAAATTAACATGTCTAAATAAGTTTCGGTGTCGGTTTCGGCCGAAACTGACACCCAGACCGAAGGTTCGTTTTCGGTTGAAAATCCTGTTTCAGTCGCACACTAGTTATAATACTGGTTCTGAAGTTCCAAATTAATAAAAAATTTGATGCTGATTAATAAATAGATCAATAACTCCCAGACAGCGTACAACAACATAAAATCGGTCGATAAGCTGTATCAAGTAATAAGTTACAAATAAACGTGTTCATGCTGCCTATACGGGAGATTTAAAAACAGAACAACAGATATATTGTTGCTGTTCAGTTATGGAAGCAGCAAGTAATAAACAGCCAGTAACAAAATAAAGTCGATCGATATAGCTGCACCAAGTAATTAGTTAATAATTATTTCTGTACATGCTATATTTATATGAAAATTTTAGGAAAAAATATAGCAGATATTTTGTTGATGGTCAGTAACGGAAGCAGCAACTCATAAAGAGTCAGCAACAAAATAAAATAGATCGAAGAGCTGCACCAAGTAATAAGTTAGTAATTATTTGTGTACATGCTATATTTACATGAAAATTTAAAGAAAAAAGGTAGCAGATATTTTGTTACTCGTCAGTTATGGAAGCAGCAAGTCATAAAAAGCCAGCATAAAAATAAAATCGATCGATAAGCTGCACCAAGTAATTAATTAGTAATTATATATAAAAAGAAAAAAGATAGCAGATATTTTGTTGCTGGTCAGCAATGGAAGCAGCTAGTCATAAAGAGTGAGCAACAAAATAAAATCGAACGATAAGCTGCACCAAGTGATAAGTCAATAAATATTTGTGTACAAGCTATGTTTACATGAAAATTTTAGGAAAAAAGATAGCAGATATCTTGTTGCTGGTCAGTTATAGAAGCAGCAAGTCATGTAGAGCCAGAAACAAAATAAAATCTATCTATGAGCTGCACCAAGTAATTAGTTTTTTTTTGTGTACATGCTATATATATCATTAAATTTTAGGAAAAAAATATAGCAGATATTTTGTTGCTGGTCAGTAACGGAAGCAGTAAGTCACAAAGAGCCAGCAACAAAGTAAAATCGATCAATAAGCTGCACCAAGTAATTAGTTAATAATTATTTGTGAAAAAGTTACATCATGAACATTTTAGAAAAAAAGATAACAGATATTTTGTTACTGGTCATTAACTGAAGCAGCAACTCATAATGAGCCAGCAACAAAATAAAATCGATCGATAAGCTGCACCAAGTAATAAATTAAAAATTATTTGTGTACATGCTATATTTACATGAAAGTTTTAGGAAAAAAGGTAGCAGATATTTTGTTGCTGTTTAGTTATGGAAGCAGCAAGTCATAAAAAGCCAGCATAAAAATAAGGTCGATCGATAAGCTGCACCAAGTTTTTACACATTTATTTGTAACTTATTACTTGATACACCTTATTAACCGATTTTATGTTGTTGTAGGCTGTCATTTATTTGGAACCTCAGAACCAGTATTAAAACATAACTTGATTTTTATTTATTTTTTAAATTTTGATTTTTTTATATTTGATTTTTTAAATATTTTTTGCATTATATTTCAGCAATAAATTATCCCGTTTTATCTGCTACGGCGGGGTTGATTGAAAGTTTTTACTGCTATCTTAATGTAAAGGTAGCAGTAAATTAATTTTCTCAAAACTGGTTGGAGCAACAAAATCCCGATTTTGGCAACAAATTAGCTACAAATTCCTAGATACAATTTTAAGGTTTCTGCTGACTTTTCACTGCCACACCGGTCGGGACGACTTTGGACTACCAGAGGGGGAGATTGTAACAATACAACACCGATACCGATGACACACCAGCAACTTCACTCCGAGTGCCCACGAGTTCCTACGAAAACTTACGAACATCACCGCGCCGCACCGGCGCGGCTTTATAAGCAGCGTTGCGGCCGATCAACGGGCATTCGATCGCCAGACGAGTCAGAGTGCGATAGCCCCGCAGTCCGCTCTGATTCATAGGCTCCTCCTGTTCGATAGACACGCAGTCTTTAGGAGCGAGTGCAGGGAGACCGCGGAAGCGATAGCCACGCAGTCCTTCCTAGTCTCATTTAGGGAGGCATTGGAGAGCGATAGCCACGTAGTCCTCTTCAAGTACTCGAGTAGGGTTGACTATGTAATGATTAAGTATGTAATTGAAAGTCTACGCAATTAACCAACATAACTACCAAGGGGTCTTTAATTTCTACACCTTGCAACCCTACATATTTTTTATTAGTTGTTGATTTTTACTTTACAATATTTTTTTACAAATTTAATAATTTATTAATATATACAATATTAAAAAAATATAATTAAAAAAGATTAATTACTTAATTATCATACAGTACAACTTTACAATAATTGTGTTTACAAATTTAATAATTTATTAATATATACAATATTAAAAAAATACAATAAAAACAAACTAATAACTTAATTATCATACAGTCCTGATTTTAACTTTACAATAATTTTGCTTACAAATTTAATAATTTATTAATATATACAATATTAAAAAATAATAATTAATAAAAATAATAATTAAGATTAATAGTTCTTCATAGTACACTGCTTAACCATATGTTGATGCGTCACATTGTGCAGCCCTTTGGAGATTTTGAATGTCAACTTGAGCCAACAGACAGCTGACAGTTGGCGATGGTATCTCAAGGCGCCTAAGCAGACAGATACCTTATCTTGAGAATCACGTCACCATTAGAGCACTTGTTTCACCGTTTC